CACAAAGAGTCAAGATTCTTCAAAACAAGAACCGTTTAAGGTGTTGTCTTACATGCCTGGGCGAGTACAAGAGGAAGTATCACAAATAATCACATAGACTGCTTTTTGCTTTTTTTATTCTCTTGTGTGAAGTAAACTGGCAAGTTGAATATAAAAAACTTAATCTTGCTACAGACACTGAATGCAAACAAGCCCTAGGAACTGTCAGAACCTATTTAATCACAAATTATATGTTAAATGAGCCATAATGAGCATTAGTGAAGACATTCATCTTATTTGCAACTGCTTGTTGTTACCTAAAACAGAAATGTGTTCAAAGTAGTAGCAACATTACAGATTGTAATATAAAATAGTCATACTAATGTAGCAGAGTAATGGAAAACTAGCACCTTCAACTGTCATGAAATGCTTCAGACATGTCATGACGACACACACCAGTAAAGGAGCAATATTTATGTTACAGACCAACATAATTCATGTTGTGGAATGATCGGCCCAATCCCCAGATTTTAATTCAATTAATACCTTGCAAGATGATGTCACGTTGATGCACTGTTTCTATGGGAAAGCTAAGGCATGCAGACGAAATGCAGAACGTAGTCGAACTGTCCTGGAATGAAACACCCACTCCACTCTGCTACAGGGCAAAGATGGCCACTCGAATTCAAGATCCTCACTTGAGTGGCAAAAAGGAAAAACTTCAGACTCAACTTAGACTTGTGCCATAAAGACTCGAGACTTGACTTGGCCTCTTGATTTCAGACTTGAGTTTTTATCCTGTTTAATATATAGACTGACAGGAAGCTGGAATTTGAGCTGACGAGCTGGATCATTAGTCCGTAACATTGCTGGGTTATGGGATATGAATGACTCATAGCAATCTGTTCATGTTAGCTCTAGCTTCATAGTAATAACCAGATGAATGTTTTTCTAAATGAGTGCTGTACTAAATGACTTTGGATCATTCAGTAAACAAGATGAATGTGATTAATCCCCAACATTCTCTCACTGTTAAGCAAGCTGCAACATTAATACAAGGACACTTCTGGCTGAAAATGTAAAAATAAAGCATGTTGTGTTCTGTTCATTCAGAACTTGACTCTCCTTTTCAATTATGAATAGCAATATGTATTTTATTTTCAAAGAAACAAGTGTGATGGTTCTATTTTTCTAGATGCTCTCCAGTCATTTTTCAGAAGCCTCTTTTTCATTCTGTTTATGTTCAGGCACGCTGAGTGTGGTGGTGTCTTTTGCCTTCATCTTCAACCGGTGCCTGGCCTGTGACCCTAACACTCCTCAGTGGGCCAGCTTAATCTACTTTGCCCCATTCATCATCATCTTCCAGTTTGGCTGGGCCGCCACACAGATCTCCCACCTGTCTCTCATCCCAGAGCTGGTCACCTGTGAACATGCTAAAGTGGAGCTCACTGCATACAGGTAAGGGATCAGCTCCAAAGCACTGGGCAGGCTGATGGACAGGTCCTGAGTCAGTATTCTCCCTGTGTGTATGCAGGTATGCATTCACTGTCATAGCCAACATCACAGTGTATGCCCTTGCTTACCTGCTGTTCCACGGTCAGGCTGGAGAGGATGAAGACTCTCTTGGACCAGCAGACACCAACATCTTCAGGGTGAGGACATGGAGGCTTTTTCTGTTATTTAACTGCTGTCTGTGGGATACAGCCAATAATTTCATGGGAAATTATATGAACTGATGGCGAAGTTAAGTAAATGTCACTGTCTTTTTTTAGAAAGTGAAAGCTCTTTAAGTGGCTGACCCAGGAGGAAATATTTAGTGCCTTTTTCTTATCCCTGGGCCTCTCAAAACTTCACACTGTGCAGTGGATGCTTGATCTTTAAAGTTTTCTTGTTTTTTTTGTTTGTTTTTTAGAAGTAATCTGAAAAGTGTGGCATGCATTTTTTAATTCAGTCTGGAGTCAGTTTTAAACAGAACAGTCTTCCACTGCAATTCCAGTTGAGTCTTCAAGGGAAGACTTACAGAGACTTGGACTGGATAATATGACTGAAAAAATGACTAAAATGTAATCATCGATAATTATTTAAGTTTTTTTTCTTTTTTGCTCCATGCCATTGCTTTTATCTTGAAGCAGTTATGAGGAACAGTGGCAAAACCTGAAATTGCTGCTACGCATGTTACTCAACAAGTTGTTGCTAGGTAACCATAAAGAGTGAGTGGATTGATGTCACCCACCTAGATGGGCGTGAGAGCTTGAGGAGCTAAAGCCTTTCTTCTGACATTGAATATTTTATCAGATGCATTAGCTATTGATATTGATCGCAATATATATTGATTTATTGTNCNGCCCTAGTATAGACTGAGGTTTTTTTNTTGTTGTTTCTTTTGTGCTGTTCTGTTAAGTTAAGTTGAATCGGACTGTATTAAGAATTTGTGTAACATCGGTTTTCAAGACTTTCTATGGTTTCTCATCTGAATTTCAGTCTGGGCTTTCTCTAGAGCGTTCTGAAGAGGCTTTGATTAAACCGTTTGACTGCAGCTCTGACTGCATGTTTGGGACGAAGCTCCACCCACACAGTGGGACGTGTGGGTGCCCCAGACAGGTTACCTTCCAGGGTTCTGCTGTTTTTAGCTCCACCATTTTCCCTGTCAGACAATCAGAGCCTGGGATTTTGTTTCGGAATAGATCATTTCCAGCATCTTTGCTGAATCCTTTTGTCTGTGACTTGGTGTGAATTGAACCAACAAATAAACAAGTGTGTGATACAGTGCTGTACTTGAACCCAGAACCTATCACTGATTGTGCTGGGGATCGGCGCTCTCTTCGCTGCTTTCTTCCACCTGGGAACCACAGAGCGCCCCAATCACATAGCCAGCAGGGACTCTGGAGGAGAACGGGAAGAGGAGGCTGAAGGGGAGCGAAGGCCGCTGCTTCCTTCTTCCGCTGTTTCTTCATCCCTTCTGCAGTGGAAATGTTGGCTCCAGCAGCCTTCCTTCTATCAGGTGAGCCTTTCCACTGGTACCAGAGCAAACGCAGCTTGTTGGAGAGCAGCTTAACAGCAGAGCATTGTGTGTGTGCAGGTGGCCTTACTCTACATGTCCACCAGGTTAATCGTCAATCTGTCCCAGACCTACATCTCCATGTATCTCATAAACACTCTAGGCCTGCCCAAGGTAAAATTCATTTATTATGTCACTCATGTATTTGGTTTTCATTCACATAATTCACTTTTTATGCTGCTTTTCAAACAGAAATATATCGCTACAATCCCCTTAGTGATGTACCTGAGTGGCTTCCTGTCCTCCTTCATCATGAAGCCAGTCAGTAAACGCATTGGAAAAAGTGTAAGTAGAACCTTTCAGATACTGGAATACATGTCCTCAGTGCTTGATGGTCTGAAAGATTTTAGTGCGACAAAAAAGCAAACAGATTTGAATATCTTACAAAAATAAGCTGAGTTGAGTTAAAACCACTCTAATTCCAGCACAGCATCACTCACATACTGCCAGGCTGGTTTAGAATAAGTCAAGTAATTTTGTTTCACTGTTCCATTTCAGATCAACACTTAGGATTGGGATGAATAGTTTTGGTTAAATAAACCCACCCCTGTATTTGGAGTTCTATTCTCAGATGAAGCTCAGACCAGACAGGCTTGTTTTGTTGGTGTTGTTGGCCTCATCAGATTAAACAGGCCTTAAAAAAGTAACAGGAACTGAATCTGACTCGGTTTTTTACCACATTCCTAAAACAAGGAAGTGAGAAACATGAAGCGCTGAATGTGGAATCTCACCTGATTATCTCTTCTTCTGTTTGTTTAGCTCACTTACTTTGTGGGCCTCCTGCTGATCATGGCCTTCTCTTACTGGGTGCTGCTGGATAACAAGATGGGTCAGCAGATCTACGGGGCTGCGGTGCTGCTGGGGGCCGGATCGGCCACCATCCTGGTCATATCCCTATCCATGACCGCTGAGCTGATCTCAGATCAGACGGTAAGTCCTCCAGCCTCCTGCTCCGGAGGAAGAGCGTAGATAAGAGGAAGTGAGCTGAAGGCCTCTTTATTATGTACAGCAGCCAGTTCTGATTTGTGTCTCTGCCTCTGCAGCAAAGCGGAGCGTTTGTGTACGGAGCCATGAGCTTCACCGATAAACTGGCCAATGGAGTCGCAGTCATGATGATTCAAGCTATGCACCCCTGCCAGTTAGTTCACACACACACACACACACACACACACACTCGCACACGTTTGTGTTGCTATCTTTGTGGGGACTTTCCATTGACTTCCATTCATTTCTACAGCCTAAACCTAACCTTTACCCTTTACCTAACCCCAACCAAAACTCAATTCACACTAGGGCTAAAACAATTCCTCGAATGATTCGAGTACCTCGATTACTAAAATTCCTCGAGGAAAATTTACCTGCCTCGAAGCTTCGTTAATTTATGTTTTATTAGTTAGCGCACCGTGTTCCGGCCGGGACTTCATTTGCGTTGCGCGGAGCTCTCACTTCCGCCTCTGAGTTGTTGACAAAAGCTAAGTCTCAGCGGCATAAAGTCCAATCTTCAAGATTGGCCCGTGGGGATTTTATTGATTGATGATAATGCCCGACTTTTTATCGTTTTTGGGGAACCAATAAGCATCCTTAAAATGACTGGGGGAATGCCTGGAGTACGGCAGCATTTCTCCTCCGGGGCTGCTGGTTGAAAGCGAACGGCGGGAAGAGAGTTGAGGTGAGCGGTAGACTGAACAGGGCGGGCGGCTGAGTAGCTGATGCTTACGTGTAAATGTAGCTTTACC